CTACTAATGTGCCCCAGTTCTGATGATGTCTCATCTGATTCCCTGATTCAGGTGGGGTCTGCCAGGCTCCCCTGCTTACACATCCTTTCCCTCTTTGCAGATGATCTAGTCTTCACTAAGCTCTGAGTTTCCTCATTCATTTACATCAGTGTGGACTCAGGTTCTTGTTTTAGTCAGTGGACTGTAATGTAATCGATTGGTGTCTCTATACATTTGTAATGCTCTAATTGTCCCTGGTTTGGCCATGGGAATATCCATTCTTGCTCTCCTGGCTTTTGGTAGACTCAAGTGTTCCTTGATATCATTCAATGAATTATACTGTGTCTTCTGAGTCATAGTCTTTGTAAACTCCCAGCAAACGACTTTTTCCTCATGGGTCTGAGTAAGAGAAGGTGGGATGGGGTGGGGGTTGATGCTGATGGATTATAGGATGCAGTTGTGAGTTATTATTCACAGGGTTAATTGTGAGAACTTGAAATGCTAATGTATATAGAATGAGCCACCTCAAAAGCAAGAGCGGGGGACCTTACGGCCATCAAAGAAGAAGAGCCAAGAGTAGAGTGTCTTCTTTGGATCCTGAGATCCCTGCATATTGAGCCTCCTCAGCTCAGGGACAGAAAGCTGTGACACCAGAGAAGTGGCAGAGGAGTAGCAGTAGAACCAGGAGTCAGAGTATGAGGCAGAGCAGTGGGCTTCACAGGCCAGGCAGTCAGGAAAGCTGAGTGACTTTGGGCAGGAGGCTTGCTTGCAGAGTAGGGTGCCTCCAAGCACTTAATTGGGGGAGCTAGGTTTGATGACCCATGAGCTAGAACTGAATGCCTTCAGGCTGAGGCTTAGAGTGAAGTGATTAGTAGCCAAGTTGCACCATCTAAGGACTCCGCATTACTGGCTCATAATAAGGCTGATAATTTTCAAATCCTAGCAAAACACTCTGTTGTCTTTCTGAGTAATATCAAGGCTTCTGGGGACATTGGTAGCTCAGTGGGAGAATCCTCACCTTCCCTACATGAGATGCCTGGTGTGTGGCTGTAGGATCAGCACTGGACTTTGAACCACAAGGTCGGTGGTTCAAGCCTGCCAGTTGCTCCTTGGAAACCCAATCAGGGTCACTAAGTTTTGGAATCGATTTGACGGCACTTAACAACCATTAACACCAACACAGGAGGTGAAGGTTCACTTCCTACCCACCACTTGCCTGTCAGTGGAGGCTGGTGGGTTCCTGGGATGCTGAACAGGTTTCAGCAGAGATTCCAGACTAAGACTAGGAAGAATGGCCTGGTGACCTACTTGTGAAAATCAGTCAACAAAACCCCTACAGACCACGATGAACTGATCTATAACCTATCACAGGGATGGCATAGACTGGGCTGGGTGTTCGGATCTGTATGAAGTTGCTGTGAGCTGAAGGCTGATGTAACAGTAGCTAACAACAACATACAGGATCCTTAGAAATGCCTAAAGAACAGAAACATGTAGCTTATCTAATAGCTGATGTCCTTGGAAGCCAGGACAGGGACATGCTTTCAGCAGAGACCAGTCCCTGGAGAAAGACAAAAGGAGGGGAGTGGTTGATCTTGCAGTCCAGGAGCGGAGGACCCTGGGACCATTAAGGGAGAAGAGCAGAGTGCGGGACCCTATCCAGAGAAGTAGTGATGCCAGAGATGGAGGCAGAGACGATGGCATGGACAGATGGAGCGGCTGGGGACTGTCAAGTCAAGGAAGGAGAGGGGCTGTGTGCTGGCAGCCAGGGGACTGGTGTTCAGGGTATATACCCTTTTGTTGTTTGAATGGTTATATATTTCTGAGTGCTTCAGGTGTACATCCCAAACAAAAACACCAGAAGGAATGGAAACAAATGCTGCTGAATGATGATGCATGGAGGGGATTGTAATCATCGCAATGAAACAAAATATGATAGGATGAATGTAAAGCTGATGTTCTCTCATGTAAACTATCACTCAGTTCACAATAAATAAATAAATACATGGAGAAAAAAAATTAAAAAAAGAGGAAGACCCCAAATGAGATGGCTTGGCGCAGTGGCTGAAGCAATGAGCTGAAACTTAACACTGATTGTGAGGACAGCGCAGGACTAGGCAGTGTTCCGTTCTCTTGTGCGTAGGGTCACCGTGAGTCAGAATCAACTTGACAGCATCTAACAACAACAACAGTGGACAGTCCAGTCCCCGCCCCAGGTGAGAGCTGTCCTCACTTCTGTTCCTCTGACCTTTGGATGTTGGACAGCTGACTTCTCACCTGTGAAAGCAGAAACAGGGTAGGAAATTGTGTCTTCTCCAGGTAAAACCATCATAGTGGACCAGGGCAGTGGGGAAACGTCATACTAAAAACACAGGAAAATGTCATCCAAAGATCAAACGGGAGACACGAGTTCAAGTCTGTCTTTTTCACTAGTCACAGATCCAGACTCTAGCTTTTCAGATGTATTTAAACTATGACATGGTTCTCCGACAGATGGACAGCTTAGACGCCATCTCCAAAGAGTTGTACATGATATAATTCCAGCTCGGTCTTTGGGTGACATATAAGAAATGCTCTGGAGTTAGGAATTTTTCTTTTCTCCTCCCTGGGTAAATTATTTTGACCAAGAAAGACAGCATCTATCTAATTAAGTGAAATCCTTTAAGCGCAATGAACAAGTCACCAGTCTCCTTTCCTATTCTGCCAATATGCTCAAACATGCAAGCTGCTCTCTGGGGATTTTAACGGACAGTTAGTTCCTACAAACACTGCTTCATCGTGTAAAAAAGCAAATGTCATTACCCAAGTCCATTTCAGGTAAGCAGAACTCTGGCTGGGGCGTCCTTCCTAACAATCATGTCAAAAGGACTTGGAAGTAGCAGCCCTAACAGGCACTGAGGTGAACACAGACCTGAGTTCTATTTCTGAACTTGCAGGGAATCCTCTGCAGTTTCCCTTGAGCCGATGGCCAACTGTGGCCGTGACACGCGGCCGGCTCCCTTTGGCTGTTTCTAACCTGCCCTGTGATACGTTGTTGTGAAGTGACATTAATCAGTTCCGACTCATAGCATCCCTGTATAGGGTTTCCTAGGAGTGGCTGGTGGATTTGAACTGCTAACCTTGCAGTTATCAGTGCAGTGCATCTCCTACAGCACCACACCATGTTTGTGGACTAATATCATTTGTAGGTTTATGGGATTTTTTTTTTTGTTGCGGGGAGATTACAGTGAGGGGTTAGAAATAGCTCAGTTGTAAGCTATCCACCTTTCACTGGGCTCTAGGTTGATTCTATGCAGCCTGGAGCACAGGGAAGGGCCAGCAGGAGGTCACTAACTGGGGGGACCTCGTCCCGCCCCCCAGGACTCCCTCCAGCACACAAGGAGCCCCACAGATGCTGCTGCCTTAGGGCTGCATGCTGGGCTCTCACCCAAACCCAACCCAAGCCAAGCCCTGTGCCACTGAGCTGCTTCCAACTCATTGTTGAACCTGTAGAGGCTTCTGAGACTGTAAATCCTTAGGAGTAGGCAGCCTGGTGGGTTTGAACCACTGACTTTGTGATTAGCAGCCTAGCCCCTACATTCCAACGCCTGGCTCTGGGCAGGTTGGCTGTGTTTCCTGACGGAGAGTTGGCACTGTGAAATGGGTACCGCCGCCATGTTTTCCCCATCATCGCTCTGGGCGGGGTTTCAGGGACAACCTCTCAGCTGCACACTCATTGAATCCCTGTGAAGACTCTGGTTCCAGTAAACAGAGGCAACCACACCCAAGAAGCAGCCATGGGACCATGACCTGCCAGTGCCACCCACAATGGAGCGGTCCCCTGGGCCAGCTGTTCTATAGCACCCCCATTACCTGGGGAACCCATTGGATCTTCTAGTGCAGGGGTGGGAACTTACGGCCTGTGGGCCATATAAGGCCCCCAAAATCCTTTGGTCTGGCCCTACCAGGCAACCACAGTCTAGCCATCACGTTACAGCAGGCTGATTTTTAAGTTGATAATTTTCTAAGACTTGAGAATCCACATGGCCCTTGGCAGAAAAATGGTTCCCCACCCTTGTTCTAGATGGAAGAAGGGTGGTTCTTTTAACCAAACCTCATAAATTTGGTACAGATTGGATTTTGTCTGAAAACTGATTCAGAAATCAGCCTGTGTAAAGTCCTTTGCAAAGATTATCAGCATGACTCTTTGGGAATCTCCCCAAACAGTCACCGTAACCTTCTGAGCTCAGCTGATCTGTCTTGGGTTTAACTACCCCAGCTGATCCCCTCCAAAGCCACTGTTCTGACTGGACATTCTTTTGAAGGGAAGGCCCCCTAGAGACAAGCGTCTGCAGCCCTCCACTGATCACGAAGCCATGTTTAACCATGTCTGTGTGAACTGTGACCTCGCAGCGCTTCTGACTCACTCTGGTACTCCCACTCAACAACGGCACCCCATGGAACCAGCCATGTCCCGCAGAGCAGGCTGTGAAGTGGTGCCGAGTCCAGGCCCCTAGCAGGCCCTTCCACATTAGAAGTGTCTGCAGCAACAGACGAGAGGATGCAGTGACCTGTCCATCCAGATGCTACAGTTACACACTGCACGAGCAGAGAAAATACCGAACCCACTTTATTTACATGGTGTAAAATCTCCAAGAAGCCTCTCCTGAGGTGCCAAGACGCTCGCTGTCTGGGGTCGCCCTCTGGACGGCACGCCATGCGCTCGATTTTGTGATCCGGTTTGGCTTGTTGCACGCAGCAGATACCTGTCACCTCCACCCAGGTGTCCATCTGTCCCACCCAGGTGACTGAGGGAGTGAGACCGGGCGCTGGGTGTAAGGCTCACTGTCTTGTAATCTCTCAGGCCCGATTGTCTTCAATGACGATTGTTCTCCTAGGGTAGCCTTCAACTTCTACGAATATGTAGCAGAATTCATACTCGCCGCTCTCAGGGTTCTGAAAGAATGGTATTTCGAGGCGTCAGTCTCCTGCCAAGGCTGGAGGAGTGCTGGGCCCGCACCCCTTCACCCATACCTCCTTCACTTCCAGGTGCACCGTGCCCCGCTTGCCCGGCTCTGAGCCCTCGATGTAGAACTTGAGACGTATGTGATGCAGCCCATCTTTGAGGTACTCGATGAAACTGTGGAGGATACCCGGAAGCCATACACGTCTCAGTTCCTTCACTGAGAAACGGCCCCAAGGCCTCCCTACCCAGCCCGACTGTACCTGACATGCTGCCGCCGCCCTCGACGGGTCATCTCCCCATAGCCTTTGATGGGCTCACCAAACACTCCAATGACCTGGAGAACAGACCAGGTTCTTGTTAGTACTGCTGTTGGTGTGAAGTGCCTGCCAGTCGGTTCAGACTCACACCAACACTGTATAGGGTTGCCGAAGAGCAGCTGCTGAGTTTGAACCGCCGACTTTGTGTTTCAAACTGACCTTGCAGTCCAGCGCTACACCAGGACTCAATATTGTTAGCACAGGCTAAGCTTCGAAAGCTTCCACTGTTGCTGGACACTGCTGAGTCGGTTCGGACTCACAGGGACCCCACGTGAAACTAGAACTGCTCCACAGGGTTTTCTCGGCTGACCCTTGTACTGGACATCACCCAGCCTTCCTTCTGCAGTGCCAATGGGTACTCTCACACCACCAACTTGAGGTTTTCAGTGGAGGGCAAACTGTCTGTGCCATCCAGGGACATTTTCTCATAAACCAAGGGGTTTTAGGGAGAAAAAAACAATCACTACACCTGGACTCTTCCAACGAGGAAAATGTAGGGGAAAAGGTAAAAAATCGTCCTGTACGTAGTTTCAAACTTGGATCTTTGGAACGATGTGAGTCGGAGTGACGCTGTCTCCACTCTCCTTGCAAACAAGGAGCCCCAGACAAAGAAAAAGCTCACACAGGTGTCTAATGACCCTGATGGTATGAAGACGACAGATGTGAACATCTGTCATGACATTTAACAAAAGCATTCTAAGGTCTAAAAGCTGGCTGCTTGGGTGGTACTGGGTTCTCAGTCACAAGCTGGCAGTTCGAACCCACCTAGGGTTACTCCCGGAGAAACACCAGGCAATCTGCTTCTGGAACCCGGGGAGCAGGTCTACTCTGCAGGAGGGGTGGGGGCATGAGTCGGGGCTGACTGATGAGAACAACTGGAAGCGACGAGGTCAAACTGACTTTTTAACAAATTGAACACAATGAGAAAAGAAATTCCGGGTGATTCCCCATGGGAAATCTCACAATGAAGTGTTTAAGTGGGATTCATCTAAACATGGATGTGACATCACACCGAGACAAACACTGGCTCTAATTATATAAAAGTCATCTTACTTTCTCTGCTGCTGACAAATGTTCCATACACATCCTGCAGGCATAAAAAGGTGTAAATGTGTGTGATAGAAAATTCAGAGATGTGCAGCTGCAACAAATGGAACATTCAAATAATTCACTTCAACTGATTAAACAGGTCACTTCCAGAATGCTGGGTCTCTGTTTTTATCAAGGAGGCATGGACCAGACATGGAGGAGGTCCTTAACGTTGGTTTACAAAGCTGAATTGTTTAAGTTAAATTATGGTCCTTAGACCTCTTTGTTAGGCCTATCTTTTTGTGTGTTAATTTTGTAGTTTTGTTTTGCTCAAAATGCTGAAAGATTTATGCAACTTTTAGTTTCTGACTAACTCAGGCACTCGCTTAACTCACGCTTTTGTCTGCAGAGTGCTCTATCCTGAAAACTCTGATGGAACCACCCTAATTAACAGTGGGTTAAATTTCCTTAGGGCCACTGCTCCAGCCTGCTGTTTCCCGGGCCCCACAGGTAGCTCAGAGTCCAATTACAGGGGAAACCGGCAGATTTTAAAGGAAGGTGCCTGGAGCCATAGGCTCCTGCTGTTCAGGTTCCTCCTGCTGGGATGTGGACCTTACACAGGGAGCATGCGTAGGATTCTCCCCATCACAGGGAGTGTGCGACTTGGTGGCTGGTGTGACAAGAACAGCCCAGATCTTTACAGTGCTCTAGACAGCTGTCCTTCCAACGTCAGAGTGAAGGTTTCAGGGCGGGAAACTGGACAATGCTGAGCTTTTCTGAGTGGGACCAGAGGTCACCTGATAAAACCTTCCATTCCAGTGGAATCCTACATGTCTCCTCCTCCCAGGATGAGGTGTGTTGGTTAAGACTGCAAGACGTGGGACAGTGAAGTTTGGTTCAGGTTCCGGCCTGCTGGCTTCCTACTGTAGCCACTCCTCAAGTGCTACAGCTTCCGGTTCTGTGGCCTGGGAATCAGGGGATTGAGCCCAGGGCGGTGTGGGGACACCTGGCACGGAGTGTGGCAGCCAACATGCTTTCAGCACATGTCAACGTGCTATTAGTCATGATCTTGAAGTGGACAGAAGCTACAAGTTTAACCCTTTACAGTCCCAGCATTTAAAATTACCAACAGATAAGGGTGACAACAGACAGATGCTGATCTGTGGTTGTTCTGATCAAAGCGATCTGGGGCAGCGAGAGAACTCACCTCAGGGTGTGACCGGCATCTCTCTAAGGCTTTCCCATATATCTTATTAGGGCTGGATGAAGAAAAGAGTTCTTTAAAAACCACGTAAAAGAGGCCACCTGAAAATCACAGGAAAAGACGATGAAGCAGAGCGAGAGGGTGACAAAATGGGACGTTACAAAGACCCATGAGGTCGGAATACTTGCTGTTGGTCCCAACCTGTGATGCCGATTCCAATAAGCACCACTACCAGGTAGGTAAAATCTCTTCCTGCTTCCTTCACTGTGAAGAGAAAACAACAGTGAGTCCCACGTGGGCCAGGTCAGCAGGGGAGACCCAGGCCGAGCTGATGGCATGGTGCAACCCAAATGTCCCTGTGAAGCTCCCAGGCCTGAAGTCAGCGAACTCAGCTCAACTGTTACCATCTGACTGTGTGGCCCAGTGCTCTCAGAGGTCACAGAGACACGACACAGGCCTGAACGACAGACACTGCCACCCCCCACGACTGGTGCACGAAATAAAAACAGAAGTGGATTTAGAACAGGATCTTGACTCGCCAGTAAGATCTGTGAATGGAACAGCCTTCGAGCATGAAGAATTTGCATGAGATACTGTACTTAGTTTATTTTCAACATTAATACCAAATATTCAGTATCTTACATTTAGACCAAATCAAAGTTTGAGAGCTAAAGAAATTCCATCAGGACATGGTCGTGTGACAGAGAGTGTCTGTCCATCTGTCAACAGCGCTTTAAGATTACCAGGGCAACGCTTTAACAGGACATTATGATACAAGCACACCTTCACACGGATGCAGCATGTACCATACCTTGGTGTGATATTATGGATGAACTTATTTACATTAAACCAAAAAACCAAACCCAAAGTCAATGAGTAGATTCATAATGGCCCTATGTTGTCGCTAAGTGCTGCTGAGCCAGTTGTGACTCAGTGACCTTGTATAGAGTCCGAGGACCGGCTGGTGGGTTTGAACTGCTGACCTTGGGGTTAGCAGTACAGTGCTTATCCTACAGCACCAAACCAAAGGCTCCTTATTAGCACAGACTCACTAAATATCAGTCTCTCACAGTGAAATGCTCCAAGAGATGACTATTGTCTCCTATACCTTTCCTTTGATTATGCATTTTATAGTGTTAGTTTTATAGGTGACTTATTTAAAAGTACTCTCTACAATCATTACAAGTTCTCAGTACAGACTTATAGAGATGACTCGAATAGTAAAATGATAGCATCTGACAAGTTGTGTGATTCACGGGGTTGAGGCAAATAACTGACATCATGAACCCAACGCCCCAGTAGGTTCACTAGGTGAGGAATCATTCTGTTCTTTAATGTCCAAAGATAAACAACGCTTAACTGCCAGCCATGTGCCAAGACCAGAGGGAGAATATGGCAACAGGAATCCCAGTTTGCTTGAATTAGGCCACTGACTCCCATGCCCTGGGTCCCTGAAAGCCCCTCCTTTCAGGTCCACCGCTCTCTGCTCACAGCTGGAGGCCTGACCTCTGCGCACGTCACAGGCGTTTACTGTCTGTCTGCTCAGCCCCGCACTGCACATCATGCAGGCTTCATGGCTCCGGGGTCTGCGCTGCCTGCCGGCTGTCACCCAGCACAGCTGCTCCTGGCTGGCCTTCTCCTGGCCCAGGCAGCCCTTACTCACGTCATTTGTGCAGTCCTCTCCCCTCCTGTAGTGGGCACTGTGTGTGACCCCAGACCCCTGGAGAAGTGCACTCTGACATTCAAGGAACAGCAATATTATGGAAAAACAAGTGAGAATTCCTTTGTATTTAACTGTTTTTTTCTACAAATGATTTACGAAATGAAATAAAGAACACAAGTCAGTGAGAAATGCCTGATGTCATCTGTGAAAACTCCCCTGACTTTGACAGAAAACCTCCCTGTTTTATATGTATTTCTACTACTGCATGTACCACACTGAGGGAAGGGAGGGCTGTCGGGGGGCGTCTAACTCATACCTGGGTGTAACAGTTGTCACTCGGGTTTCCCGAGCTAAATGACATGTTTTCCTATCGACAGTCACTGAGTAATTTCTTCCTGACTCTGTCTACCCAATCATACTTATATGCTCTCTGGCAGCGTAGTGGTGACAAATCTTGCTGCTAACCTCAAGGTCAGCAGTTCGAAACACCCAGCTGTTCTGCGGGAGAAAGATGTGACTTTCTGTTCCCGTAAAGATTTACAGCCTCGGAAACCCTGTGCAGGGTCGCTATGAGTCAGAACCGACTCCATGGCACATAACCACCGCCATCACCATAGGCTCTCTAGACTCCTGGTGTGGCGCTATGGGTTAAGGCGCTAGGCTGTAAACCACAAGGTCGGTGGTTCAAATCCACCTGCTATTTCTTGGGAGAAAGACGAGGCTTTCTGCCCCTGTAATGATTGACAAGCTCAGAAACACTATAGGTCACTATGAGTTGGATTCAAGTCTATGGCTGTGGGTAGAGCATACACTTTCTAGTAGGCCTAGAGGCACAATGGTTTAAGTGCTTGGCTGCGAACCAAAAGGTCAGAGGTTCAGACACACCAGCAGCTCCACAAGAGAAAATAACTGGCAATGGGTTTCAGTGACTGTTCCAGGCTAGGAAACCCCAGGGACAGTTCTGCTCTGTGGACAGCACTCAGCCACACAGTCTCTCCGCAGTGCAGCTCTAACAGTGTTTGCCCACGACTGGCTTCATGTTCTGTCTATTTTCTTCCCAATGAAGCGAGAAGGTATTTACGTGTAGGAATTCTTTGGCACATCCATTAGGACTAACACCTGTCCAAGAACTGAGTGTAAACAGGCGCTGGAGAAGATCTGTGACTTAGCTGTGGGACCTGGACATCAGGAAAATTCAAGTGTAAGTGTCAGCTGTGTGACCTTGGGGGCGTGTGCCTTTTACATCACCAGTAAGAGAAGAAGGGCTCCTGGACGGAGACTCAAAGGACATGACATTGCACGTGGGAAACCTCCCTGGCAGCTACACAGCATGGAACAACGGCTACATGTTAACGTAGCTTGTCACACCAGAAGTAATGCCAGCTGAAAGTTTCTAAACAATACAACCAAGACACGCCAAGCTCTGCAGGAATTTGTGAAGACGCTGCCTGCCTGTGTGCGGATTCTAACTGTGTCTACCAGCGGCACTGCTGGCTCCACGCGTTTTCACAGATGGACAGACTGCCGTTCCGGGGGCTCCCTTTTACCTCTTTGTGACGTCGACACGGTGGTCGGCCCGCTTGCACTTCTGTGCACAGACACTTGTTTGCTGTCGTCCTCCTTTGCTTTCAGTGGACCCCGTGCCTGCGTCCAAATGGTTCTTGGGGTGACCCCACAGACACGTGCGGGCACGACAGCGTTCCGCGGCTCGGGCAGCCCCCACCTCCAGCAGGGTTCAGTCTTCACACAGGCTTCGCTGAGCACCGGGCGGGTCCAGAACCCTCGCGGCCCCGCGGCCCTGGGCAGCCTGTCAGTGCGCTGCACCGCCCGCAGGAGAGCGCAGATCATGGCCTCGGAGATCCTCCTCGATCGCCCACTGCATTCCCCGCGGGCACATCCACTCGGCGTGTCCCGCACACACGCACGCTCCACCAGCGCTGCTGGCACGGAAGGCCCCCAGAGAGAAGCCAAGGGTCCTCGCCCTGCCCTTCGGCTCTCTCGGTTCTTGAACTGAAACGCCCGGATCTCCTTCTATGCGGACACTCCCACTTTGCCCGCCATACCTTCGCACAGCAACCTGGGACCAGTATAGAATTCTGGGAAAAGTAGCTCGAGGATACGAGCCCCCAGCACCATGACTGCTGCGGGAGGCACCAGGGACTACATCTCCCACAAGGCAGAGCCGGATGAGGGCGACCGTCCTCCCAATACTCCCATAGTTCTTTGCGGGGATCGTGGAGCCTGCGAACTACAGACGGAAGTCAGGCCTATGCTCGTGAGACGTCTCGCGCTTTGGTTCGCGCATGGCTAAAATTTTGCAAAATCAGATGTGCAATTTCGGATGGCACGGTCCTTTCACTTTATCTTTTAATGCTTCCCGCCCATTGCCTTCTGAGACCCCACGGCCATCCCCGCACAGAGTGAGAGCGGCTGAGTGCGCGAGAAAAGCCAGCCGGACACATTTAGAATGCCACTGGGGTCTCGCACGCACTCAAGGCGGGGTTAGCGTCGGCCCGCCCCGAGTTCGCGCATGCGTGTGAGTACAGTGGTCTCCATGGCTACCGGACGCAGTGGAACCTGGCGCCCGCTTCGGTATTACTCAGGCCTACCGGCTCCGGCGGGTGATGTCGGGCTCAGGTGATGGTCAAGGCGCGGTGGGTGTGCGCCCAGGGCCGCGAAGGCGGCCTTTTTTCGGCGCCCGCCCGCCCGCGGTCTTCGTGAGTCAGGGGGGCGCCTCCTACTCGGAAACGTACCGACCCTGTTCTGTAGCCTTCAGGGGGGTATCCTTCCGTGCCCCTTCGCTGTCAGGGTACGAGTTTGATGGGACAGGGCGGAGTGATGGGGACTCCCTTTCCTCTGAAGTCATTTGGCTGGGAGGACTTGTGTGTGCACAAACGTATGAGAACCGCCTCTCTATTCGTTTACAACTTGGGGAAGATGAGTAAGCTCAGGAAAGTTTGGCCTGACTATAGGTTTTCCCTTGTGCCCGCGCCTGTGAAAGGTACTCACCACCTCTGGCAGCTGCTTGGGACCTAAACCACCTAGAGCTGGTCCCTGTTTTTTGCAGAAGGGTTTCCTGTGGAGAGAAAGGCACCGTGGAGAGTGAGGAGGGGACAGGGGGAGCTCAGCTCAGAGGGCAATGGGCCATTTCACACAGGAGTAAGATGACACAGGAGTCAGAAGTATGGAAGGGCTGTCAGCACCTCTTGTCCTGAACCCCAGGTTCTGTAACCACTCTCAGTTTACCAAGTACAACAGGCATGCCTTCTGTGCTTTATTATTTTAGGGGAGAGGGAATTTTTCATTGCTTCCAGATCTATCTACAATTTTCACTCGTGTTATTATATGCTTTTAACTTCTGAAACAAGAAGCCTGGTGGTGCTCTAGGATACACACTGGACTGCTAACCACAAGGTTTAAACCCATGGCAGAAAGGGCACTTTGCACAGTTGCAGTCTTGGAAAGCCTATATAATAGGGTCTCCATGAGTCAGAATTGAGCAGATGACAGTGGGTCTGATTTTGGGGCATTCAGTTCTGAAAAACACAATGTTTCTTTGAAAAGGCAGATTATGTAATATTCTATAAACTCCTGATTTTTAATTCTTTTTTCTTTCTTTCTTTCTTTCTATTTTTCTGTATGGTTTACCTTTCCACATCCCCCCCACCCCCACCACTACCCCAATTTTTTTTCTTGATGATGATTGTGTATGTGTTTGTACCTAAACCCATTTTCTTTTATCAGATTCCAGCTTAGACCCATAGTCACCGTACAGGGCAGGATGGAACTGCTTCACAGGGTTTCCTAGGTGGTGATGTGTATAGAAGCAGACTGCCACATCCTCATGCGGGTTGGAACCACCCACCTTGTGGTTATTAGCAGCAAGGGCTGTACCACTGACTGTATTTGGTTGTAAGGCACTCTAATTTACAGATATAAAATAACATGCATACTCTGCCTTGTAATAGACAAATACCTATGCTTAAACCTAGGAAAGGCTTCTGCTAGTTACCAGTTCATCTATTTTATGTTTGTCTCTGAATGTCTAGGACCCCACCTCTCTGCCCATGTCTCCCTCCCTGCTACTTATTTACCCTGGTTTGGGAAGCACAAACCCACCCCTTGTTGAGAAGTCCCAAAAAACTGTGACACATAAAACAGTGACTACATCTGAAAATCACCGTTCTGTAGGATGAGAAAGCCTGGAATTTAAATTGGAAACGTGAACTTTAAATCAACGTGCCGCTGCCGCTGAGATGAGGCTTTCTGTAGTGCTGTGTCTCCGAAGCGGAATGAGAGCTGTTGGATGAATCTTTTCTTGCTCTCTAGGGAGAGTAGACTTCCTGTCCTATGTCTGGCCTGGGAGGCCCACTGCCCTCTGACTTGATGTATCCGTTCTTTGTGGAAAGCTGAAATGTTAGGAACGAACCGGCAGGCAGTTCACATTCTACACAAAATGAGAAGAGACTTAAATACCACAAACTAGCAAAACCTGCGAAAGTCAGATGCTGTGTAAGGCAAAAACTGATCAGACCAGGAAGTTGCACACCTTCTTTCCTAATGGAGAGCTACAGCAAAGTGTAAGGCTGTCACTAGAGAGAACTAGAAAAAAATGCAGTCCCATCGCGATCTGGCTCTTGCAGATTTCACTGTATGAGAAATAAGAGCAGAACTCACATCAAGCTGGTTTAATTTCTCCCTTGTCTCATTTCTTTGGCTTATCAGAGAGTGAAAATCAGTCCCAGACAGCAGGTTTGTAAAATTTTAACATAAAGCTGTAGGCAAAAACAATACGCGGGGTGGGGGATGCAGGGCGGGGGAATCCAATGACAAGTCATTTTACTCACTATATTAGCCAAATATGCACTTAGCCTTGCAGAAGACAGACAGACCCACATGAAGGCTGCGTGGAGCCGACTGGCTTGTTACTGTGTGGCCCTTTAAAAGGAGTGCTGATCTCATAGAGGACTAGAGATGTGTTGTCCGTGGTACCCCAAAGCCACATTGATGAGAATTATAATCAACAACACAGTAAAACCAGGTTTGGAAGGAGAGTCTGGGATGTGGCTCCCCAGTTTGTGACCCTGAATGGTTTCTTTAAGTCAGGTGAGGAACGTCTGGCCTGCAGCCATAAGTTAAGTGCCGAGTCGGTTCTGACCCATAGCGACCCTGTATAGGGTTTTCAAGGAGCTGCTCTTAAGCTTGAGTTGTCAACCTTGCAATTCAAACTGACTTTACAGTCTAGCGCATTAACCCACAGCGCCACACAGGGACTCCAGGCCATATGGTGGTTCTGTGCTATGGAGTCTGTTTCCCAGGCTGTAAATCTTTACGGGAGCAGAAAGCCTCATCTTTCTCCTGCGGAAGCACTGGTCGTTTCAAACTGCTGACTGTGAGATTAGCAGCCCAACTTGTACCCACTAAGCTATGAGCTCCTTGCAGGTCATATAAGGACCGTGAAGTCATTTTATCTGGCTCTGCCAAAGCAACCACAGTTCCAACCATCACACTTGTTGTTGTTGTTGTTAGGTCCCATTGAGTTGGTACCGATCCATAGCGACCCTGTGCACAGCAGAATGAAACACTGCCCGATCCTGGGCCAAAATCACTACTGTTGCCACACTTGAGTCCATCAATGCTGCCACTTGGCCAATCCATTTCATTGGGGGTCTTCCTCTTTTTCTCTG